CCTGCCCTGCTGAATTACCTGAATTGTACTGCATGCCCTGGACTAGACCAGCCTTCGGCCTTGTTTGCTGCATTTATGTGCAAAGGTTACATTAATAATTCAAGTCTTAAATGACCTCAAAATGGAAATAAACTGTATCTCACTGCTTGGTACAAATAGAAATAACTGAAAGAACAGTAATTTTGACTGAAAATCAAGTCCTAGCACCTAAACAAAGTGCACTTAAATTAAATCCTGTGGCTTTTGAAGATAAAGAGGAAAAGTTTACAAAACTCATAAAAGGAACAACCTCAATTGGGGTTTAAACCCTAATTCCATATAAACCAGAACAAGATAACAACTTCTACTATAGTCAAACATCCACTATGAAATTCTACTGACCCAGAGCCGGCCCTAAGCCAGGGCTACCAGGGCTACAGCCCGGAGCCCACAAGTAAGGGGGGCACAATCTTCTATACTATCTATTAAATCTCTTATCACTGCAAACCCACATGGCAAATCCCCCTTTTTAAAATTTTTTTAAATAAATTTGTTTTATAAATTGAAACCAGATTCTTTTCTCTAATTAATTCCCTTGCTCTAATTAAATATTTTTGTTCCTCTCCCAAGAAACCCTTAGTTTTCTGTGCTTAGTTTTCCGTGCTATAGGCTGACATCTCTGTGAAACTTTGATCTACACAAACATCTTTTCATCTTCTCTTATTTCTCTCTCAATCCTCAACCTTTCTCCTTCCTCCAGTCCTCCTCAAAACTAACCTCCTCTCCCTCTACCCCCTCCTCCACTGTCCTCCACCACTTCACCTCCCTCATATCCTCCGACCCCGCTCCCTACCCGAAATACCGGCCTCGGACCCCGCTCCCAACCCGAAATACCGGCCGAAAAGTTTTGATTTACGCTAGAGCAGCACAGATTCGCTAGCGACGCCCCCAAAACGTTGAAGGGGAGTTCTTTATTGGTGAGTTAATTGACTAATTAAAAAAAAAGTAAAAAAGAGCATCACTTGAATAAATTATTGAATTGTGAGATTTTTTTTGTTTGTTCTCACTTCTCAGATCATCAACGCCTTGGGTTGTCTCATCGGCGGTGAGTTCTATCATCATCATCCATCGGTGTTCTTTTGGTTTCTAGATTTGATGCAATTGTTTCTGCAGAAATTTTTATGTTTTTTTTGCTGAATTATTATTATTATTGTTGTTGTTGTTCTTCTTCTTCTGGGTTTTCTGTTTTGGAGAGAATTGAGATGCATACAGTTTTATTTGGGGATAGTCGGAGCCCAGCGTTTATGCGATTTGGGTGCGTGTGATTGGGTTTTGCGGTTTAGTTTGATCCTTTGATGTCTCTTAGTAATCCAATTTTGGTGGTTTTTTGTTTGGATTTGATTTTGTGGTATGCTGATTGTATTGGATTTGATGTGGAGATTGTATGGGCTGTTGAGTTTAGTTTAGATTGATTTATATGAGTAATTGATACATTTAATAAAATTAATTAATTGATAATTTATTTATCTGTTTGTTTAATTTGTATAAATGGGCACACTTAGAAAATTTGTCCTGGGCCTTAGAAAACCCAGGACCGGCTCTGTACTGACCAAATGGTCGAAATACCTGTAACTGCTCAGTCAACTTAAAGATCAATTTCAAATCCAAAATCTCTTCCTTTTCAATGGGAAGAAAGAATTCCAATGTGCACAAGTAATCAAACATAATGCAATTTGTTATAGATAGTGCTATACTATTATTGATATAATTCTTCAAGGAACCCCAAAAAAAATCAATATTTGATTACCTGCAAGAACATCTTCGTTCATTGTATGATCTAAGCTAGAAGGACCCATAACTAATCAGTTTTGGGGGGTTTATTTTATAATTTTTAGTTTAGGGGACTCCGAATATCTCAAAAACCTAGACGCAATTCTTCAAGAAAATTGAAAAAAAAAGTCAAATTTTAATAGCAAACACTAAATTTAAACCCCACAAATCCAAACTAAACTACCTGCAAGAGCATCTGAGCCTGCATGTTATTGAACTGGGCGATCGACTGCGCGGCAGCAGCGGTCGATCTGCTGCCCGGCCCGGCCTGTCCGATCCACCCATCCCCTGCTGCTGCTGGGCCCCACCCCGAAGCTCCATCTGGGCCCCGCCTCCGCCGCCGGCTGCGTACTGCCTCGCGGCGAACACGCGGCTCCGAGCTGCTGCTGCTGGAGCGGCGCGTCCAGCCTCGCCATTTGCCCCGACGCCGACCGCTGGAGGTTCTGGAAGGCGGCGCTAGGGCTAGGGCTAGGGCTGGGGTTGGGGTTTTGGGGGTGGGGAGGGGGGAGCTGAGGGGAGGAGATGGAAGTGAGGTCGATGGAGGGGGATTGAGGGGGGATTTGGGGGGAGGAGAGAGGGTTAGGGTTAGGGTTAGGGTTTTGGGGTACTTGGGGAGATGATGAGGAGTTATCCGCCATTTTGAGAAATGATTGGGGTTTTTGTTAGTAATAATTTATCTCTCGATCATAACGGTGATCAGAGCGAGAAAGAGAGAGAGAGAATTCTGTTGGGGGCTTTTTATTAAGCAAGCGCTGTCTACGGAGGCCGAAGACAGTAGTTTATTGGGTTCGGGTTCTTTAATGATTATGTATCTAAATCCGCTACAGTGTGCAAGTTTTTTGTTTTTCTTACCTTTTTTTTTTCTTTTTCTTTTTTCTTTTTCTTCAGCCCTGTTTTTCTAACAATGACTACTTGCAAATAGGGCCCCATGTAGTTCTATTTGCTACAAATAGAAATCATGTGGTATTGGTCCAAGTGCAAGTACGCGTCTTTGTGAACTTTTCCAACTCTTTTAAATGTAAAAAAAACAATCGAAGGTCTACCCTCATCATTAGAACTATAAGGAGTGTATCAGCCTCCTTAAACATTTTTTAATGGTTTTAAAAGTATAAATTTTTTCGCTCAGGAGGTCTATTAGCAAGGCATAGAACTACATGGTATCCGATCGCAATTTGGTGATACTACATGAGTTTGTTTGCAATTAATCATTCTTACAATTAAGATGGTTTGGTTAAGGGCCTGTTCGTTTGTTTTCAAAAAAGCAAGAAATGGAAATGGAAATAGTGGAAATCTCAAAATAACTCATTTCTTCCATTTCCATCCCTAAAACTCACCCACAACATCCAATAAAATATTATTTTCATCCAACAACTTATCCACATCATCTAATAAAATATTATTTTCATCTAACCACTCATCCACCACATCTAATAAAATATTATTTTCATCTAACAACTCATCAATCACATCTAATAAAATATTATTTTCATCCAAACATCACTCAACTCATCTCTTTTTATTATTTCAAATCACTCACATCATCGAATAAAATATTATAACAATTCACCTCATCTCATTAACATTTCATTTCTTCCATTTCATCCCAAAAAGTTGTGAAAACACATTTCTTAATCTTTCTTCACATCAACCAATAATACAATGACAACTCATCCCATCTCATTTCATTTCTTATTTTTAAGAATGAACCGAACAAAAGAAAACAAGAAAACTACAGGAAATAGGTTTCTTATAATTCATTTCCTTATTTTTTTCGCCAACCGAACAACATCAAAACTAGTTTTCTTAAAAAATCACTCACATCATCCAATAATAATGTGACAACTCATCTCATCTCATCTCCATTTCTTTGATTTCCTTTTTTTTTAGCCAACCGAACACTCCAAAACAATTCTTCATTTTCCATTTCTTTGATTTCCCATTTTTTTTAAGGCAAACGAACAGTAAGCTGAAATAGATTTACAAGCGCGAATGTTACAACAAAATCTCTATTTCGTAGAGAAAAAACCTCTAGCAAACAAATTTGGCTGCAACAAATATTGTAAATCCTTCCATTACCTAATAAAAAAACTAAAAACTAACGCTACGTTTGTTTTTTATCCTAAGACTAGGGGGTATTATAACCTATAAACTATAGTCCTCCAACTATGATGAAACTATTCTAACTAGTCCAATGTTCGTTTTCCCACAGACTAAAATTCGGACTAATTTTAAATAGTCCACACTAGTGTTTGTTTTTAGTGAAATTATAATCATTGGGACTAATATCATAACTAACATGATATCGTAACTAACATGACATTTTTCACCATCAAGTCAACTAGTACGGTTTTGATGCATAAGCTTGAAAAAATTCAAAATTGGAGCATGTCATCTAAAAATGTCAATTTTTACCCTCAAATCAACTAATGTATTGCTTACATATCTACATTGATTCAACTATAGTCCAAATAAACAAAAATTTACTTTTTTGAAAATATTTTACTTGCATTCATACAGATTGAAAATTGAAACATTGTCTTCAGGAGATCCTAGAATATCAACCTTAACTAAAAAATGGAATCAAAAGTGAACAAAATTTAAGAACATGTTATGATTCACTAGTTCTCCTCTTTGGACAAACAAACTAGCACCATGCATCAATTGGTAGGGTAGTTTCTTCATGGAAAGAATGAAGCTCCAAAAAAAAAAAGATTTGATAGAACAAATCTTAGAAAGAACTCGGTAGAATTAAAATGATGAGTTTTTTGTCACAAAATCTTAGTTCTCATAGATGATTAGTACCTGGATTATAAAGGTGGGAGAGGGTGAGCTTATGATAGTCTCTCGTTTGAGTATTAAGTAGTCCCTCCTTATAAATAGTCTGGTTCAGATAAAAAAGAGATAAAAATGTAGATCCAGACTTTTTTAAATAGCACATCACTATTAGAAAAACCAATATAGTCAGGAGCGGATCCAAATATGGCAAAGTGGTGTCACGTGACATCACTTTTGGTATGCAAAGCAACATGTAAAAAAAAGGGGTTATTTTTTTTATTTATTATAAACCAAAGGTTTTGCCCAATTTACAACACGCATAGTTATATATGCTCTCATGCAAATACAGTTTATTTACCTATACACCGGCACAAAGCATAGAATTCAGAGTGTATATAGGTACGT